GTTATACTATACAAAAAGTATGAATAATAAATAATTATTTTATTATAAAAAAAATATTTGGTTATTTAAAAAACATCTAACAAAGTTTTAAATAAACATATTTATTTTCAAATAGTAACTATCCAACTCAAAATGGTGTTTTTATATTCATACAATTCAGATAAGAGAAACAATTAATTATATTTTAAGTCAATTATTATTTTGTATTTACAAAGAATTTGTTGATTTTGTCAAACATAAATAATAATTTATTAGGTAATCAAATTGTTTGTCTTTTTTTTATGTGTTATTAAGTTTTTTTAGTGTAGTATATTGTTTGGTTTTAATTTAATAATTGCAAAAAAAAAAATTATGTCCTATTAAGTTTTGTTGGTGTAGTTTATTGTTTGGTTCAATAAATAAAATATATATTTTCCAAACCGTTTAATATTTTACAATAACACATTTCATTTAGAATCATATTTTTTATGGGTACCAAAAATAAGAAAGAAAACAATGGTTAATATATATTACAACTTATTGGAATTAATTAATATTAGAATTAGCTATTAAATTGTTTGAATTGATTGTCAAAGTTATTAGAAAGAAAAAAATAGATATAAATTTTTATTTGTCTCTTAAATTAATAAATTAAAAAAAAAGCACATGTCAAAAGAGTAGTGGCACATATAATACAATAATATAGTAAAATTTCTCTAAATTGAAGTAATGAGAGGTTGTAATGTGTCACCTACTATTTTGACATGTATCTTTTTAATTTATATACTTAAGCAAAAAAATTAAAAAAATTATTTGTTCTTTTTTCTCTTTCTAATAATTCTGATAATTAATTCTGACAATTTCATATCTACGTTTTTTTTTGTTTTTTGGTCACAAACACACTTTATTATTGATCAAACAAATACAGAATCTATATTAGCTACGTTTAATGTTGATGAAGTCTAATACGTTATAATATATATTAGCCATTTTCCTTCTTTTTTTTATACGCACACAAAATTATGATTCCAAATTAAATGTGTTATTGTAAAATTTTAACTATTTGGAAAACAAATATTTTATTTATTAAACCAATAATAATATTAAAAATATAAGATTTTAAAGTTTTTTTCTCTAAACTTAATAACACACTAAAAAAAATTAGTGCAATTAAAAAATTTTGTGCCGGAGAAAATAATGATATTAACAAGACTGTTGAAAGAAAATCATACCCTACCACAAATTGTAAATCCAAATTTTTTTTGTTTATACTATTCCTTTCGTACGGTAATTACGATGGAAAAAACAAATTCACTTCACCAATGAATCGATGTGGAAGATTAAAATCTCAGCAAAATGATCAAAAGAGAGACAAAAACACAATCAAGAGATAATTATTCTCTCTTTACGATTCAAGGTTCGAATGAAATAAACATAGAGATGCAATCCAACATCTTTGTTGAGATGATGTCGATGTGTCAGTAGAAGTCAAGTGTACTACAACTTGTCCGATCAATAAATACAAACATATTTGATGAAAGAAAAAAGAAGACAAACATATTTCTTCATACATTTGTATTAACTCACATAATATATATATCTCCTAGAAATTTATGTCATTTCATATAACTTTTTTATTCTTTTTACATATAAGATTATATCAATAATTTGCTACAAATTCTTAGTATTCAAACCTAGATAATTATTAACTATAAACACCAAAAATAATCAATAAGGTAAAATCATTGCATATTTTACCAGAACTTACGTCTGGTGTATATGTTGTTAAAGTTGAAGGAAACCCTAAACTGATCGAGAACTTACG